CTCATTAAATTAATTCAACATTAAAGTCCTAAACTGCCCTAGAGGCACCAGAGTCGAGATGTAGGGAGTTTTGTAGGCTATTCCAGAAATGGGGGGCACTAAAACTGAAGGTGGATTTACCTAGATCGATACGTACTAGTGGAACCTCGAGAGTTAACCATCCTTGTGAATGGGTTTTGTATCTCATGTTTTTATATTTTAACACCGAAGTGAGGTAAGTTGGAAGCTTGTGTAGTAGAGCTTTGTAAACAAAAAGGGAATAATTAAGTGATCTATGGGACTTTAATGAGGACCAGCCAACCTTTTGATACAGGATGCAGTGATGAGTATTAAAACTGTCACCTGTGATAAAACAAACGGCGCTATGGTAGATGGCATCCAAAGGTTTAAGAGTAGTGGCTGCTGCATTCCGATAAATGGTGTCACCATAGTCAAGAACTGTCAGGAAAGTTGACTGTACAATCTCCTTCCTGCTGTTTAGGGAGAGGCATGATCTAGTTACAGTGGGGAGAACAAGTATTTGATACACTGCCGATTTTGCAGGTTTTCTTACTTACAAAGCATGTAGAGGTCTGTAATTTTTATCATAGGTACACTTCAACTGTGAGAGACGGAATCTAAAACAAAAACTCCAGAAAATCACATTGTATGATTTTTAAGTAATTAATTTGCATTTTATTGCATGACATAAGTATTTGATCACCTACCAACCAGTAAGAATTCCTGTTAGTTTTTCTTTAAGAAGCCCTCCTGTTCTCCACTCATTACCTGTATTAACTGCACCTGTTTGAACTTGTTACCTGTATAAAAGACACCTGTCCACACACTCAATTAAACAGACTCCAACCTCTCCACAATGGCCAAGACCAGAGAGCTGTGTAAGGACATCAGGGATAAAATTGTAGACCTGCACAAGGCTGGGATGGGCTACAGGACAATAGGCAAGCAGCTTGGTGAGAAGGCAACAACTGTTGGTGCAATTATTAGAAAATGGAAGAAGTTCAAGATGACTGTCAATCACCCTCGGTCTGTGGCTCCATGCAAGATCTCACCTCGTGGGGCATCAATGATCATGAGGAAGGTGAGGGATCAGCCCAGAACTACACGGCAGGACCTGGTCAATGACCTGAAGAGAGCTGGGACCACAGTCTCAAAGAAAACCATTAGTAACACACTACGCCATCATGGATTAAAATCCTGCAGCGCACGCAAGGTCCCCCTGCTCAAGCCAGCGCATGTCCAGGCCCGTCTGAAGTTTGCCAATGACCATCTGGATGATCCAGAGGAGGAATGGGAGAAGGTCATGTGGTCTGATGAGACAAAAATAGAGCTTTTTGGTCTAAACTCAACTCGCCGTGTTTGGAGGAAGAAGAAGGATGAGTACAACCCCAAGACCACCATCCCAACCGTGAAGCATGGAGGTGGAAACATTATTCTTTGGGGATGCTTTTCTGCAAAGGGGACAGGACGACTGCACCGTATTGAGGGGAGGATGGATGGGGCCATGAATCGCGAGATCTTGGCCAACAACCTCCTTCTCTCAGTAAGAGCATTGAAGATGGGTCGTGGCTGGGTCTTCCAGCATGACAACGATCCGAAACACACAGCCAGGGCAACTAAGGAGTGGCTCCGTAAGAAGCATCTCAAGGTCCTGGAGTGGCCTAGCCAGTCTCCAGACCTGAACCCAATAGAAAATCTTTGGAGGGAGCTGAAAGTCCGTATTGCCCAGCGACAGCCCCGAAACCTGAAGGATCTGGAGAGTCGGACCGCAGAGTGAAGGAAAAGCAGCCAAAAAGTGCTCAGCATATGTGGGAACTCCTTCAAGACTGTTGGAAAAGCATTCCAGGTGAAGCTGGTTGAGAGAATACCAATTGTGTGCAAAGCTGTCATAAAGGCAAAGGGTGACTACAGTGAGGAGAAAAAGTATTTGATCCCCTGCTGATTTTGTACATTTGCCCATAGACAAAGAAATGATCAGTCTATAATTTTAATGGTAGGTTTATTTGAACAGTGAGAGACAGAATAACAACAACAAAATCCAGAAAAACGCATGTCAAAAATTTTATAAATTGATTTGCATTTTAATGAGGGAAATAACTATTTGACCCCTCTGCAAAACATGACTTAGTACTTGGTGGCAAAACCCTTGTTGGCAATCACAGAGGTCAGACGTTTCTTGTAGTTGGCCACCAGGTTTGCACACATCTCAGGAAGGATTTTGTCCCACTCCTCTTTGCAGATCTTTTCCAAGTCATTAAGGTTTCGAGGCTGACATTTGGCAACTCGAACCTTCAGCTCCCTCCACAGATTTTCTATGGGATTAAGGTCTGGAGACTGGCTAGGCCACTCCAGGACCTTAATGTGCTTCTTCTTGTGCCACTCCTTTGTTGCCTTGGCTGTGTGTTTTGGGTCATTGTTATGCTGGAATACCCATCCACGACCCATTTTCAATGCCCTGGCTGAGAGAAGGAGGTTCTCACCCAAGATCTGACAGTACATGGCCCCGTCCATTGTCCCTTTGATGCAGTGAAGTTGTCATGTTCCTTAGCAGATAAACACCCCCAAAGCATAATGTTTCCACCTCCATGTTTGACGGTGGGGATGGTGTTCTTGGGGTCATAGGCAGCATTCCTCCTCCTCCAAACACGGCGAGTTGAGTTGATGCCAAATAGCTCCATTTTGGTCTCTCACCACAACACTTTCACCCAGTTCTCCTCTGAATCATTCAGATGTTCATTGGCAAACTTCAGACGGGCCTGTATGTGTGCTTTCTTGCGCAGGGGGACCTTGCGGGCGCTGCAGGATTTCAGTCCTTCACAGCGTAGTGTGTTACCAATTGTTTTCTTGGTGACTATGGTCCCAGCTGCCTTGAGATCATTGACAAGATCCTCCTGTGTAGTTCAGGGCTGATTCCTCACCGTTCTCATGATCATTGCAACTCCATGAGGTGAGATCTTGCATGGAGCCCCAGGCCGAGGGAGATTGACAGTTCTTTTGTGTTTCTTCCATTTGCGAATAATCGCACCAACTGTTGTCACCTTCTCATCAAGCTGCTTGGCGATGGTCTTGTAGCCCATTCCAGCCTTGTGTAGGTCTACAATCTTGTCCCTGACATCCTTGGAGAGCTCTTTGGTCTTGGCCATGGTGTAGAGTTTGGAATCTGATTGATTGATTGCTTCTGTGGACAGGTGTCTTTTATACAGGTAACAAACTGAGATTAGGAGCACTCCCTTTAAGAGTGTGCTCCTAATCTCAGCTCGTTACCTGTATAAAAGACACCTGGGAGCCAGAAATCTTTCTGATTGAGAGGGGGTCAAATACTTATTTCCCTCATTAAAATGCAAATCAATTTATAACATTTTTGACATGCGTTTTTCTGGATTTTTTTGTTGTTATTCTGTCTCTCACTGTTCAAATAAACCTACCATTAAAATTATAGACTGATCATTTCTTTGTCAGTGGGCAAATGTACAAAATCAGCAGGGGATCAAATACTTTTTTCCCTCACTGTATTTGAAGAATATCAAATATAAAATATATTTTGATTTGTTTAATACTTTTTTGGTTACTACATGATTCCATATTTGTTATTTCATAGTTTTGTAGAAAATAGTCAAAATTAAGAAAAACCCTTGAATGAGTAGGTTTGTCCAAACTTTTGACTGATACTGTATATATATGTAGTGAAGAGCATAGGACCCAAAATCGACCCCATGTGGGACACCTTTAGTAATATCGAGGTAACTTGACTTGACACCATCAGAAAGCACAAATTGTTTATTGTCTGACAGATAGTTCCCAAACCATTTACAAGACGCCTGGTCGAGGCCCATTTCAGAGAACCTTTGAATGAGTAGGGGGTGGTCGACAATATCAAAGGCCTTGGATAGGTCTATAAATATGGCAGCACAGCGATTCCTATGATCTAAACAATTTAATATATACTTTAAGACAAGCATAGCTGCTGAAACGGTGCTATGTCCAGGTCCAAAACCAGACTGGTACACATTAAGAATATGTTATTAGCTAAAAAAAAGTTATTAGCTGAGAATTTACCAGTGATTCTAATATTTTTGCAAGGCAAGATAGTTTAGAAATGGGGCGGTAGTTATCTAGGTCAGAAGGATCTCCACCTTTGTAAAAGGGAAGGTCATGCGCCACCTTCCAGATCTTAGGGGTAGCACCAGAAGCAATTGTTAAATAGAAAATGTGAGTCAAAGGTTCGGCAATGAGGGGACAGAAAGCTGCAATAGAAAGGGATGAGCGAATCAGCTCCTGTGGATTTTTTTACATACATTTCTTGCAAGGCACTTAATACATCATTGACATAAAATGGTTCAAATGGAGAAAAAAGTGAATGCCTGGAGCATCATTCTCTGCTATTAGTTTAGAGGTGAATAAAGGACTCCCTCTATTCTTTCAAATAGATGACCAGCTGAGGCTAAATGGATATTAAAAACACCACAAATGCAATGTTTGTCTGTTATGGGACCAGAGGCTGTCATAACCTGCTGGTGCAATGAGAAGGGTAGAGGTTTTTTTTCAAAGATTTGACCACGTTCAGAATTTAGCTGGATTTCCACCACTCTCAGATACACAATTCAAGAAGTATATTGACTTTGCTTTTCTAACCAGAGTAAGACATCTATTTCTCAAATGTCTGAAGGACTGCCAGTCAGAGGTAGAATCAGTCAATCTGGCCTTTGCCCAAGCTGGTTATTCTCATGGTCATTAGCTGTGTGCTGTCTGCTGAGTGGCTGACTGAGCGAGTGCAGGTGCGGAGGGGGGGAAAGACTGCTGCTTGATATTTTGTTGCTGTGTGTGCATCGCTTCACACAGCATGGGTTTGGGTGTGGGGAGGCACAGGCTGCAGAGAATTCAGTCAATACGGCAACAGAGCTTTGGCTGTGCGATCAAAGCAGGATACAATAACATAAGGTCAACAGGATCTCAGGCTTAAAATTAGGAGTTGCCCGGCATCGTATCACCTCACATCTTTAGATAATGGGAGTCCCTGAATGGCCCAGATAAATCAAAATCAAACGTGCCTGGGGCTTTTCAGTCGCAAGCAACAAGTGCAAGGTATTTTGGCGATAAGGAGTCTGGTCAAATGCAGCAATCAGTCCCTGGGCGCAAAGCTTAGGAGTTAATGGAGAGCTCCCTGTGAACACCACTCCCCCTAATCTGGTGAAGGCCACAGGAGTGGGCCTACAAAGAGCCTTGCATCAAGAGGCTACTGCCGTATGTTTCTTTGTGGCTTACGTGTGTGTAAGATGAGCCAGTGTTCAGTATGAGTTAACAGCATAAGGAGGATAGACACATTAAGGGCTTGCTCTACACAATGAACTCCTAATGGCTTCTGAGAGTGTAATTCATCTATGAAATCAGCTGCAAATTGAGAGGAGGAAAATCAGTTTGTGATCTATCCCTTTCTGTAGCCTAGCAGGAAGGATATTGAACGGTGCGGCTCCCAAAAGGTTAGGAGTAAAACTTTCCTGTCGACCTTGATAGTCTGCAGTGGAAAACTTCCACTCAGCTATATGTACACAAGGCCTGCCAAGCACCACACACCTCAAGAATAGAGCAGATACATGCATCTGTATTCTGTGCAATACTGTTCAGATAAGCAATGACTAGCACAGGGGGTCAGGATGTCACATTGTCAATCAACTCCAGTAGCTACTGATGTCAAGTGCATTTCTAGAGTTCACCTTGTCAAGGAATGGAATGTCTTGTGTCAGACTATCTATACCCCTTTTTCTCCTCCTCCTCCTCCTCCTCCTCCTCCTCCTCCTCCTCCTCCTCCTCCTCCTCCACCTCCACGTCCTCCTCCTCCTCCTCCTCCTCCTCCTCCTCGTCTTCCTCCTCCTCCACCTCCTCCTAGTCCTCCTCCTGCTAGTCTTCCTCCTCCTCCTCCACCTAGTCCTCCTCCTCCTCCTCCTAGTCTTCCTCCACCTCCTCCTAGTCTTCCACCTCCTCCTCCACCTCCTCGTCTTCCACCTCCTCCTAGTCTTCCTCCTCCTCCTCCTCCTAGTCTTCCTCCTCCTTCTCTTCCTCTGTCACATTGTCAATCAACTCCAGTAGCTACTGATGTCAAGTGCATTTCTAGAGTTCACCTTGTCAAGGAATGGAATGTCTTGAGTCAGACTATCTATACCCCCTTTTCTCCTCCTCCTCCTCCTCCTCCTCCTACACCTCCTCCTTGTCTTCCTCCTCCTCCACCTCCTCCTAGTCCTCCTCCTGCTAGTCCTCCTCTTGCTAGTCTTCCTCCTCCTCCTCCTCCACCTAGTCCTCCTCCTCCTCCTCCTAGTCTTCCTCCACCTCCTCCTAGTCTTCCACCTCCTCCTAGTCTTCCTCCTCCTCCTCCTCCTAGTCTTCCTCCTCCTTCTCTTCCTCTTCCACCTCCTCCTCCACCACCTCCTCCTCCACCTCCTCCTCCACCTCCTCCACCTCCTCCATCTCCTCCTAGTCCTCCACCTCCACCTAGTCTTCCACCTCCTCCACCTCCTCCTAGTCTTCCTTCTTCTCCTCCACCTCCTCCTAGCAGTGTTGTGTATTCATGGATGCCAAGGGAAGCCAGGCTTCCCCAAATATTTGACCAATATATATATTTTTAAATAATAATAATAATTTCTCTTTCGTCTCTCTCTTTGTTTTCATAATTTGTCTCATTATATGTAGCCCATGTATCTGATGCTGTCTGGACCAAAAGAGTATAACATGTAAGCCACCGTAGCATTTGATTGATGCCAGCAAGCATTTGGCCTCACTTGATAAAAAATGTATAAAATAATTAGCCAATCAGCATTGAGCTGATCTCAGCAGTGGGTTGTCCTGGTGCAGCAAAACACACCCTAAGGGAGGCCAGTTTGGATTTGGTTTCACACCAATCAAATCACATCCTAAGCAAAACTTAATTTTCTGAAAAACTTGTCTGTTTCTGGTCCGCTTGTGTTAATGTCCAGCAGTAGCTAGCTTGCTAAACCGTCCCTTTCCTAAGCCATGGATGGAGATGGGGCTTTGGACTTAATTCTCTGTACAGGCCAATGATTATGACTGTGATTCTGATCTAACCATAAATTCATATGTTGTGCCACTGGCCTGAGACGATTAATAGTAGCCTAGATGTAGCCTAGTAGGCTCAAGTTAACTAGCTAGCTAGCAAGAGGACAAATAAATTAGAGTGTCTAGTTTGAGAAACAGGCGCCTCACAGGTCCTCAACTGGCAGCTTCATTAAATAGTACCCGCAAAACACCAAAGAAAAAGCCATATCTCAGACTGGCCAATAAAAATAAAAGATTCAGATGGGCAGTCTGAGATATGGCTTTTTCTTTGCAACTCTGCCTAGAAGGTCAGCATCCCAGAGTCGCCTCTTCACTGTTGACGTTGAGACTGGTGTTTTGCGGGTACTATTTAATGAAGCTGCCAGTTGAGGACCTGTGAGGCGCCTGTTTCTCAAACTAGACACTCTAATGTATTTGTCCTCTTGCTCAGTTGTGCACCGGGGCCACCCACTCCTCTTTCTATTCTGGTTAGAGCCAGTTTGCGCTGTTCTGTGAAGGGAGTAGTACACAGCGCTGTACGAGATCTTCAGTTTCTTGGCAATTTCTCGCATGGAATAGCCTTAATTTCTCAGAACAAGAATAGACTGACGAGTTTCAGAATATAGTTATTTGTTTCTGGCCATTTTGGAGCTGTAATCAAACCCACAATTGCTAATGCTCCAGATACTCAACTAGTCTCAAGAAGGCCAGTTTTATTGCTTCTTTAATCAGCACAACAGTTTTCAGCTGTGCTAACATAATTGCAAATGGGTTTTCTAATGATCAAGTAGCCTTTTAAAATGATCAACTTGGATTAGCAAACACAACGTGCCATTGGAACACAGGACTGATGGTTGCTGATAATGGGCCTCTTTATGCCTATGTAGATATTTCATAAAAAAATCAGCCGTTTCCAGCTACAATAGCCATTTACAACATTAACAATGTCTACACTGTATTTCTGATCAATTTGATGTTATTTTAATGGACAAAAAAATGTTTTCTTTCGAAAACAAGGACATTTCTAAGTGACCCCTAACTTTTGAACGGTAGTGTATATGGGTAAGAGTCTAGCTACATTTTACAGATATACGATTATAATTTTGTCAGAAATGCATTTTTATTTCAAGTTAAAGCATACTGTTAGTTAGCTAGCAAGCGTTAGCTTGCTGGCTCGATAGCTAACGATACGTGTACGATCTGTGTAGTAATATTATTTGAGTCAGAAATCCATTTGCATTGCTGGTTATAGCCTAATAGTAGCTAGTTAGCATTGAACCTAGTTTGTTAGCTTTAGCTACCTGCAGATTCATACTACAGCTATGGCAATGTTTGTATTGGTAGTAGTATGAGTTGTGGTTATGCCGTTCATTGTTTAGCTAGCTAGCTTCCTAGCTAGCTACATGTCTAAACAAAGGACTCCACTTCGGCCGGATTATTACAAATTAGCAGTTGTGTCTGGGGGTGAATACAGCCATCGATTGTATTTCATGAACATGTGCACATGTCTAATAGTGACCCATCCACTTAACTAGATGTGGGTGAGGGGTGGTTATAGCATTTCCTTCACATGACCCATCAATTTAGACAAGTGTGTCGGGTAAGCGTCATCTAAAAATGATAAAATATTTATAAAATATTTTTATCTGGACACTTTCTGTTTTTGATATTGCTACTATGCAAGTATGCAAGTACTATCACTATACCGTTTACCCCTTCTGTATCCTGTACATACAAATAAACGTTTTATTCGATATCGCGTGTGTTTACCACATGGCCTCACATGTGAATCCTTAAAGAGATGGGTGGGACTAAGGCTTAAGAGAGTGTGAACGATGCTGAATGGGTGTAGACAAAGGAGAGCGCTTCAGTAGGAGTACCAAAACATTCAAGGGACATTTTCTCAAAAGTTTATCAACTTTCAAAGCAGAATTACTTTCCCATTGTTCCTCAACTGCGGTGTATGATATACCATTTTCTAGTGCTGAGTCTCTACTTTTATCCAATGTAAAAAACACAATTTCAAATTTTGCTACATAAGACCGAATCGAGGAGGTCAGTCACATATTTGCTTTGTGGACTTCACTGGACAGATGTTGCTCTCCAGTTTTGTGATGAAACAAACGTATGTGTAGCTAAATATATTCCGCCACTGTGTGACTGTTGTCTTTTTATTGTCACGGCCTTTTTGTATATCACAGTGGCGTGATATACATCCTCCTCCACCTCCTCCTCCACCTCCTCCTAGTCTTCCTCCTCCACCTCCTCCTCCACCTCCTCCTAGTCTTCCTCCTCCTCCACCTCCTCCCTCTCATCCTCCTCCACCTCCTCCTCCACCTCCTCCTAGTCTTCCTCCTCCACCTCCTCCCTCTTATCCTCCTCCACCTCCTCCCTCTCATCCTCCTCCACCTCCTCCACCTCATCCTTCTCCTTCTCCCTTTCCTCCTCCACAGGATGAGGTATAATAGCTAGTGTTGAGCTCCAGGCATGAAAGCTAAGATAATGACATAAGGAGCTGCTACATCTCACAGCATCCCCTCCTTTCCCCCCCTTTCTAAGGCCTATGTATGTCTCCTGCAGTCCTTGTGTGTTTTTCTATGCACATCTGAGCCATATGAATTTGAAATCAAAAGAAAATGAGTCTTTAGCATACAGACCCTGTGTGTTTGGGTGTGTGTAAGCCTCTGTGTGTATGTGTTTCCTTATGTGTGTATCTGTTTTTGCGTCTCTAAGTGTGTGTCTATGTCAGTGCGTGTCTATGTCAGTGTGTGTCTATGTCAGTGTGTGTCTATGTCAGTGTGTGTCTATGTCAGTGTGTGTCTATGTCAGTGCGTGTCTATGTCAGTGCGTGTCTATGTCAGTGCGTGTCTATGTCAGTGTGTGTCTATGTCAGTGTGTGTCTATGTCAGTGTGTGTCTATGTCAGTGCGTGTCTATGTCAGTGCGTGTCTATGTCAGTGCGTGTCTATGTCAGTGCGTGTCTATGTCAGTGCGTGTCTATGTCAGTGTGTGTCTATGTCAGTGTGTGTCTATGTCAGTGTGTGTCTATGTCAGTGTGTGTCTATATCAGTGTGTGTGTTTGCATGAGATAAAACACAAGCTGGAAGGAGTAGAAGCAGCGCAGGGGGTGGGAGAGAGAGAGAGAGAGAGAGGGGGAGGGAGAGAGGGAGGGGGAGGGAGAGGGGGAGAGAGGGAGTGAGTGAGTGAGTGAGTGTGGGAGAGGGATGACTCACCTTCTCTGCAGACTGGGCTGTGCCAAAGAAGATGGGGATGAAGGCCAGCCAGACGATACAGGTGGTGTACATGGTGAAGCCGATGGGCTTGGCCTCATTGAAGTCCTCTGGCACGTCGCGGGTCTTGATGGCGTAGATGGTACATGTGACCATCAGCAGGATGCTGTAGCCCAGCGAACAGATCATCTGCAGGTCTGTGATGTCACACTTCAGCACGCCACGCGCCAGGTTGGGGTTCATGGTCTTCTGCTCGTCGTAGTCGATGATGGTGTTGGGCGGGTCAACGGCGAACCAGACGAGCACGCCCAGCAGCTGCAGACAGATGAGGGAGGAGGTGATGGCGATCTGGGAGGTGGGGCTGATGAAGCGCGGGGCGGTCACTGTCTGCTTCCCCTGTTCAAAGATCCGGTAGATCCGGTTGGTCTTGGTGAGCAGCGCGGCGTAGCTGATGCACATCCCCAGGCCCAGGAAGATCCTCCGGAAGGAGCACACGCCCACGTCAGGCTTGGCAATCATCAGGAAGGTGATAATGTAACACAGGAAGATGCCCGTCAGCAGCACGTAACTCAGCTCGCGGCCCGACGCACGCACAATGGGCGTGTCGTTGTAGCGTATGAACGTTGCCATGACAAAGATGGTGGCGATGATGCCTAGCATGGCGAGGAACACGGGAATGACGGCCCAGGGGGAGTGCCACTCCAGCTTGACGATGGGGATAGGTTGGCACTCCGTCCGGTTGGGGTTGGGCCTCATGTCGTAAGAGCACAGGCGGCATGAGGTCTCATCGTACTGGTACTGGTAACCATCACACAGCTCACAGTGCCAGCAGCATGGCATGCCCTTCACCCTCTTCTTCCTCTCACCTGTCTTACAGGGCAGACTGCACACGGAGATAGGGACCTCCTGCTCCCCCTCTGGCCACTGCAGCTCCTCCAGCTGAGAGAGAGAGAGAGAGAGAGAGAGAAGAGAGAGAGAGAGGAGAGAGAGAGAGAGATGAGAGAAGAGACATAAGAGATAGCAGCGCTAGTGCGATAGATAGAGCTAGAGACGAGAGAGAAATCCCGCTCTCTCTCGAGATTGGCTCTGTCGTCTCGCTGCTCTCTAGCGCTCTCCTCTCTCTCTCTCTCTCGCTCTCTCTCTCTCTCTCTCTCTCTCTCTCTCGCTCTCTACTCTCTCCCCTCCCTTTCCTCCCCCCCTCGCCTTCTGGACAAGCAGTGAAGGTAGCACTTCAGATACGAGGGTTAGTCGATAGTGATGAAGTCTTTTGCATCTACCTGACAGGCAAATGGGCCTGGACTGGGCGTGTGCATACAGGATGAGATACGGTGGGGTCCGAAATTATTGACACCCTTGATAAAATAAATCATTCAAATACTGAGCTACATTGTATACTCAAATAAATGGGGACATTTGATTATTTTATACTAATGCAATTGCTCAGAGAAAGAGATTTTGTTTAACAAGTAATACAAATATTTCTCACAAATGATTGACACCTCTGTTTTCAATACCTTTCAGTGCCTCACCTTGCGAGGATTATGGCACTGAGCCTTTTTGTAAAATGTTTTATGAGTTGGAGAACACATTAGACTATTCCTCCATGCAGAATCCGGTCACACTTTATTTGGATAGTCCGGATAGTCCATCTGTAGTGATGGTCATGCTATCAACAAACTATCTTTTGATAAGCAACTGCTTGCTAAGGTTACGGTTAGGGTTAGGTTTAGAATAAGGGTTAGGATAAGGGTTAAGGTTAGGGTTAGGGATAGGGTTAGTAGATAGTTAGTTGAAATGTTACTGATCGTTTTTTAGAGCATCTACAGGTGGACTATCCAAAAAAAGGGTTACCCAGGATCCTTCCAGATCCTTGATATCCTTCATCTGCACATGTTTTCAATTGGTTTCAAGTCCATAGACTGAGATGGCCATTGCAAAATGTTGATTTTGTGGCCAATTAACAATTTCTTTGTGGATTTTGATGTGTGCTTGGGGTTATTGTCTTGCTGGAAGATTCACTCATTGCCAAGTTTCAGCCTCCTGGCAGAGGCAACCAGGTTGTTGGCAAAAAACTCCCATAACATCAAAGATCCACCTCCATATTTTACAGTAGGTATGGGGTTATTTTCTGCTCATGCATTCTCACCACTGGTGTGCGTGGCAAAAGAGAGTGGCCAAAGAGCTCAGTCTCCGAACTTGAAACCAATTGAAAACCTGTGGTTTGAATTGAAGAGGGTAGTCCATAAGCGCAGAAGCAGGATATCAAGGATCTGGAAGGATTCTGTATGGATCCCTCCCAATGTGTTCTCCAACTCATAAAACATGTGTGACTCATTTCTACTTTACGGGAGAGCCATTTGAACGTAAACCTTTTTTTGTTTTTTTTTATCTAAATGCGTTTTTTTTGGCAGAAATGCCTTCTGGAACATGTGAACTTTCATATGCCTTAATAACAAACTTGTATGCCATCTGTAAATATGAATAAAATTGTTAAATTACAAGCCTAGTCGGTTAAGACACAGAAAAAGACAGCAACCTTCCCACTAGCCATGATTGGCTGAGATAATGAGTGGGCTGGACATGCCGAGAGAGGAGTTTGGATTGGTACGCCATATAGCACGCTTCTGTCTATTTGAGGTGGTCAGTATGTATAGGTAATCTTGTCCAACATCGTGTAGTGGAGCTGCATAAGTGTTGCTCTCCACCTTCTGAAGGATCGAGTTTTGAAATCAGTGGAATTAGAGTATGATAGCTAAAGAGATGGAGAAAACACCTGTCTCCGGATTACATCTTCAAACTAATGGCATCCGTGACAGGGAGACACATCCATCATGCATGATGTATACGGGTAAGATAGTCTAGCTAGCTACATTTTCAGATATTACATGTTTCTAATTTTGACAGAAAGTGGTTTCATTTCAAGTTACGTACAGTGAGGGAAAAAAGTATTTGATCCCCTGCTGATTTTGTACGTTTGCCCACTGACAAAGAAATGATCAGTCTATAATTTTAATGGTAGGTTTATTTGAACAGTGAGAGACAGAATAACAACAACAAAATCCAGAGAAACACATGTAAAAAATGTTATAAATTGATTTGCATTTTAATGAGGGAAATAAGTATTTGACCCCCTCTCAATCAGAAAGATTTCTGGCTCCCAGGTGTCTGTTATACAGGTAACGAGCTGAGATTAGGAGCACACTCTTAAAGGGAGTGCTCCTAATCTCAGTTTGTTACTTTTATAAAAGACACCTGTCCACAGAAGCAATCAATCAATCAGATTCCAAACTCTACACCATGGCCAAAACCAAAGAGCTCTCCAAGGATGTCAGGGACAAGATTGTAGACCTACACAAGGCTGGAATGGGCTACAAGACCATCGCCAAGCACCTTGGTGAGAAGGTGACAACAGTTGGTGCGATTATTCGCAAATGGAAGAAACACAAAAGAACTGTCAATCTCCCTCAGCCTGAGGCTCCATGCAAGATCTCACCTCGTGGAGTTGCAATGATCATGAGAACGGTGAGGAATCAGCCCAGAACTACACGGGAGGAGCTTGTCAATGATCTCAAGGCAGCTGGGACCATAGTCACCAAGAAAACAATTGGTAACACACTACGCTGTGAAGGACTGAAATCCTGCAGTGCCCGCAAGGTCCCCCTGCTCAAGAAAGCACATATACAGGCCCGTCTGAAGTTTGCCAATGAACATCTGAATGATTCAGAGGAGAACTGGGTGAAAGTGTTGTGGTCAGATGAGACCAAAATCAAGCTCTTTGGCATCAACTCAACTCGCCGTGTTTGGAGGAGAAGGAATGCTGCCTATGACCCCAAGAACACCATCCCCACCGTCAAACATGGAAGTGGAAACATTGTGCTTTGGGGGTGTTTTTCTGCTAAGGGGACAGGACAACTTCACTGCATCAAAGGGACGATGGACGGGGCCATGTACCGTCAAATCTTGGGTGAGAACCTCCTTCCCTCAGCCAGGGCATTGAAAATGGGTCGTGGATGGGTATTCCAGCATGACAATGACCCAAAACATACGGCCAAGGCAACAAAGGAGTGGCTCAAGAAGAAGCACATTAAGGTCCTGGAGTGGCCTAGCCAGTCTCCAGACCTTAATCCCATAGAAAATCTGTGGAGGGAGCTGAAGGTTCGAGTTGCCAAATGTCAGGCTCGAAACCTTAATGACTTGGAGAAGATCTGCAAAGAGGAGTGGGACAAAATCCCTCCTGAGATGTGTGCAAACCTGGTGGCCAACTACAAGAAACGTCTGACCTCTGTGATTGCCAACAAGGGTTTTGCCACCAAGTACTAAATCATGTTTTGCAGAGGGGTCAAATACTTATTTCCCTCATTAAAATGCAAATCAATTTATAACATTTTTTACATGCATTTTTCTGGATTTTGTTGTTGTTATTCTGTCTCTCACTGTTCAAATAAACCTACCATTAAAATTATAGACTGATCATGTCTTTGTCAGTGGGCAAACGTACAAAATCAGCAGGTGATCAAATACTTTTTTCCCTCACTGTATATGATCTTATTATTCATATCTCAGTGCCATTTGCTTGCTAACATTGAACCTGCTTGGTTAGCTACCTGCAGATCCATGCAGGGTAGTAAAGTCATGAGTTGGGATTATGGTACATTGTTTAACTAGCTAGCTAGTGTTAGCTGGCTGGCACGCTAGCTAACATTACGTGTATGATCTTGTTATTCATATCTCAGAGCCATTTGCTTGGCTAGTTAGAGCCTAATGTTAGCTAGCTAACATTGAACCTGGTTGGTTAGCTACCTGCAGATTCATACAGGGTAGTAACGTCATGAGTTGGGATTATGGATCATTGTTTACCTAGCTAGCTAGCTAGCTACATGTCTTAACAAAAGACTCCACTATGCAAGTAACCATTGCAGGTGCTTTTGTAAATTCAGTCTGAGTATGCCAGAGCGCAGAATAACTGATGAATTTACGAACGCACAACACCTGTTGAATATGACCGGTGTCAGTAAACGTTGGCAAAAAAGCATAATTAAATTGTTGCCAGCAGCACAGTTACAGTCACCAACGCTCTGGATAACATGAAAACAGCCTAACCAGCTCTGCTAGGGTGAGTAAAATGGTCAGTGGAGTGGGGTGTTTTCTCATTTAATGAGAGAACACCCCACTGACCATTTAATGAAAGAACACCCCACTGACCATTTTACTCGCCCTAGCAGAGCTGGTTAGGCTGTTTTCATGTTATCCAGAGGTAAACAATGAACCATAATCCACATTTTGTGTCTGGAAGTAGCTAGCAAGCAAGCCAATGTTAGCCAGTTAGCTTGGGTGCTTGACTGCTGTTGTGAGGTCAGAACACTCGGATCAACCCTACTCATCGGCCAGAGTGTCAAGTGTGCGCTCTGAACGCTCCGAGAGCGAAACAACATGGGTGGGGCTAAAGCTTAAGAGGGTGTGAATGATGCTGAAATGGGTGTAGACAAAGAAGAGCTCTTCAGTAGGTACCAAAACATTCAAAGGCCATTTTCTCAAAAGTGAGATTACATGTTTATCAACTTTCAAAGCAGAATTACTTTCCCATTGTTCCCTTAAATTTAGAGTATGATATACCATGTTGTAGCACTGTGTCTCTGCTTTTATCCATTGTAAAAAACACAATTTCAAATGTTGCTACATAAAACCGAATCAAGGCGGTCGGTCACATTTTAGAAAAAGGCTCAGTGCTGTTAACCTCGCAAGATGAGGTATTGAAAGATATTGAAAACAGTGGTGTTAGTAATTTTCACACCTAGAGTTGAAGTCGGAAGTTTACATACACCTTAGCCAAATACATTTCAACTCAGTTTTTCACAATTCCTGACATTAAATCCTAGTAAAAATTCCCTGTCTTATGTCAGTTAGGATCACCACTTTATTTTAAGAATGTGAAATGTCAGAATAATAGTAGAGAGAATGATTTATTTCAGCTTTTATTTAGTTCGTCACATTCCCAGTGGGTCAGAAGTTTACATACAGTCGTGGTCAAAAGTTTTGAGAACGACACAAATATTAGTCTTCACAAAGTTCGCTACTTCAGTGTTATGAGATATTTTTGTCAGATGTTACTATGGTATACTGAAGTATAATTACAAGCATTCCATAAGGGTCAAAGGCTTTTTTTGACAATTACATTAAGTTTATGCAAAGAGTCAATATTTGCAGTGTTGACCCTTCTTTTTCAAGACCTCTGCAATCCACCCTGGCATGCTGTCAATTAACTTCTGGGCCACATCCTGACTGACGGCAGCCCATTCTTGCATAATCAATGCTTGGAGTTTGTCAGAATGTGTTGGTTTTTGTTTGTCCACCCGCCTCTTGAGGATCGATCACAAGTTCTCAATGGGATTAAGTTCTGGGGAGTTTCTTGGCCATGGACCCAAAATGTTGATGTTTTGTTCCCCGAGCCACTTAGTTATCACTTTTGCCTTATGGCAAGGTGCTCCATCATGATGGAAAAGGCATTGGTCATCACCAAACTGTTCTTGGATGGTTGGGAGAAGTTGCTATCGGAGGATGTGTTGGTACCGTTCTTTATTCATGGCTGTGTTCTTAGGCAAAATTGTGAGTGAGCCCACTCCCTTGGCCGAGAAGCAACCCCACACATGAATGGTCTCAGGATGCTTTACTGTTGGCATGACACAGGACTGATGGTAGCGCTCACCTTGTCTTCTCTGGACAAGGTGTTTTCCGGATGCCCCAAACAATCGGAAAGGGGATTCATCAGAGAAAATGACTTTACCCCAGTCCTCAGCAGTCCAATCCCTGTACCTTTTGCAGAATATCAGTCTGTCCCTGATGTTTTTCCTGGAGAGAAGTGGCTTCTTTGCTGCCCTTCATGACACCAGGCCATCCTCCAAAAGTCTTCGCCTTACTGTGCGTGCAGATGCACTCACACCTGCCTGCTGCCATTCCTGAGCAAGCTCTGTACTGGTGGTGCCCCGATCCCGCAGCTGAATCAACTTTAGGAGACGGTCCTGGGACTTGCTGGACTTTCTTGGGCACCCTGACGCCTTCTTCACAACAATTTAACCTCTCTCCTTGAAGTTCTTGATGATCCGATAAATGGTTGATTTAGGTACAATCTTACTAGCAGCAATATCCTTGCCTGTGAAGCCCTTTTTGTGCAAAGCAATGATGACGGCACATGTTTCCTTGCAGGTAACCATGGTTAACAGAGGAAGAACAATGATTTTAAGCACCACCCTCCTTTTAAAGCTTCCAGTCTGTTATTCTAACTCAATCAACATGACAGAGTGATCTCCAGCCTTGTCCTCATCAACACTCTCACCTGTGTTAACGAGAGAATCACTGACATGATGGCAGCTGGTCCTTTTGTGGCAGTGGAAATGTTTTTTTGGGATTAAGTTCATTTTCATGGCAAAGAGGGACTTTGCAATTAATTGCAATTCCTCTGATCACACTTCATGACATTCTGTAGTATATGCAAATTGCCATCATCAAAACTGAGGCAGCAGACTTTGTGAAAATTATTATTTGTGTCATTCTCAAAACTTTTGACCACGACTGTACACTCAATTAGTATTTGGAGCACTGCCTTTAAAATTGTTTAACTTGGGTCAAACGTTTCGGGGAGCCTTCCACAAGCTTCCCACAATAAGTTGGGTGAAATTTGGCCCATTCCTCCTGACAGAGCTGGTGTAACTGAGTCAGGTTTGTAGGCCTCCCTCTCGCACACGCTTTTTCAGTTCTGCCCACAAATTTTCTATAGGATTGAGGTCAGGGCTTTGTGATGGCCACTCCAATACCCTGACTTTGTTGTCCTTAAGCCATTTTGCCACAACTTTGGAAGTATGCTTGGGGTCATTGCTTGCATCACCTGACTGATGTCTTGAGATGTTGCTTCAATATATCCACATAATTTTCCTTCCTCATGATGCCATCTATTTTGTGAAGTGCACCTCCTGCAGCAAAGCACCCCCACAGCATGATGCTGCCACCCCCGTGCTTCACGGTTGGGATGGTGTTCTTCGGCTTGCAAGCTACCCCATTTTTCCTCCAAACATAACAATGGTCATTATGGCCAAACAGTTCTATTTTTGTTTCATTAGACCAGAGGACATTTCTCCAAAAAGTACGATCTTTGTCCCCATGTGCAGTTGCAAACCATAGTCTGGCTTTTTTATGGTGGTTTTGGTGCAGTTGCTTCTTGCCTGCTGAGTGCCTTTCAGGTTATGTTGATATAGGACTCGTTTTACTGTGGATATAGATACTTTTGTACCTGTTTCCTCCAGCATCTTCACAAGGTCCTTTGCTGTTGTTCTGGGATTGATTTGCACTTTTCGCACCAAAGTACGTTCATCTCTAGGAGACAGAACGTGTCTCCTTCCTGAGCGGTATGACGGCTGCGTGGTCCCATGGTGTTTATTCTTGTGTACTATTGTTTGTACAGATGAACGTGGTACCTTCAGGCGTTTGGAAATTGCTCCCAAGGGTGAACCAGACTTGTGGAGGTCTACAATAATTTTTCTGAGGTCTTGGCTGATTTCTTTAGATTTTCCCAGGATGTCAAGCAAAGAGGCACTGAGTTTGAAGGAAGGCCTTGAAATACATCCACAGGTAGACCTCCAATTGACTCAGAAGCTTCTAAAGCCATGACATCATTTTCTGGAATTTTCCAAGCTGTTTAAAGGCACAGTCAACTTAGTGTATGTAAACTTCTGACCCACTGGAATTGTGATACAGTGAATTATAAGTGAAATAATCTGTCTGTAAACAATTGTTGGAAAAATTACTTGTGTCATGCACAAAGTAAATGTCCTAACCGACTTGCCAAAACTATAGTTTGTTAACAAGAAATTTGTGGAGTGGTTGAAAAACGAGTATTAATGACTCCAACCTAAGTGTATGTAAACTTCCGACTTCAACTGTATAACTTCCACTGAGTTGTTGCCGTGGAGAACACAATATATGTTTCATCCATTTGCTTAAGTAGTTCCACTCGTAAGATTGCTAAGAATAAGTAAAATAAAACAATACACTTTAATCTGTCCTATTCTGTACTCAAGAGTAGTTGATATCACCATGGAGACAGTCGTTGATTTTTTTTATGTAATGAAAAGCCAGAGAGTTATGAAAAATTTGAGAATCTGATTTACCGCCTTAAAATGCCAATTTTACAGCCGTCTTAGAGGGGGACTATCTCTTCAGGATCGTTATATTGTCATATAAATGTAAAGTCGACTACAGAGAATTTAGAGAAGGCCACTGAATTATAGTACTTAAAAGATACTAAGCCTTAACACTCCAGAAGATTTATTTACATTTACATTTTAGTCATTTAGCAGACACTCTTATCCAGAGCGACTTACAGTTAGTGAATATATTTTTTATTTTAATGTTTTTTTTTTATACTGGCCCCCTATGGGAATCGAACCCACAACCCTGGCGTTGCAAACGCCATGCTCTATCAACTGAGCTACATCCCTGCCGGCCATTTCCCTCCCCTACCCTGGACGACGCTGGGCCAATTGTGCACCGCCCATGAGTCTCCCGGTCGCGGCCGGCTGCGACAGAGCCTGGATTCGAACCAGGATCTCTAGTGGCACAGTAAGCACTGCGATGCAGTGCCTTAGACCACTGGGCCACTCAGGAGTTTGGCATTGCGTTTTGTCGACAATATTAGTTTAACCTTAAGGTCAGAAACGGGTTGGACTTATCAGTACAAGTCATCTAGAACAACTCTTTATCTAGCATCTCACATCACAACTTATATAATTTCTCCCATATCTCTGTCTCCCAAAAACCTTTGCACCTTTGGAATGAATGTATTAATTGCTCTGATAATAATCACATTTAAGATCTTACACAACCACAGATTCTCACAAAAAAAGATTCAGAAACCCACCGTCTTCAAATCTACTCATTTTTTCTGGTCAATACCTTAGTGCATGCCAATACCTACAATGACTACTGTGTGTGTGTGTGTGTGTGTGTGTGTGTGTGTGTGTGTGTGTGTGTGCGTATTCCTGTACCTCACGTGTACCTGTATGACAAATGTGTTTTCTCATTAGATTATGATCTGCTATCAGTTATCTGTGCAGGGGCTGGGCGCTGTGATTTGTTATGTGGACAATGGTGCTCCCTTGAACAGCTCCTGGTTATATACTGTAATGAGAACAACACCACTGTTGCCACGGAGACCACAAAGCAAGATTTGTCACCTTGGACTGATAGGGCTGCTGTAGTTGTTTATTTTTTCTTTCTTTCTTTCTTTTTTTAGGAGGAGGGGTGGTTTGTTGGGTTTGTTGGTTTCAGTAGGGATTTAAGATGCATTTTGACACACCCATTTTGATTCATATCTTCATCAGAAATGATATCATCAAGGTCACGTCTCAATATTTCTTGACAAAGATATTTCAACTTGTCGTCGTCTTGCCAAAAAGCAAGAGCAACAGTCAGGCCTACAGGCTAACTCCTCAATTAGATTTTACATTGCTCTTCCTTAACAAGTTATTGTAATAATTAGTACTAGTTAGTGGGGAATCCCCTCAATCAACAAGTGCCCGGTTTGTACTTACATTTCTCTAAAATGTATTAAATGTATCACTACAGATCATAAATATAATAAAATAAGGCCATTATTTTGTTCTGACCATGTGTCCTTGACCCTAGCCCTGATTACAGGCCATAACCTTACCCTGAGTTGGAGAGTCTCCACCCACTGTCCGATGGGCCTGTATTCAGGAACACTGGAGTTGGTCATCTGAAACTGGAACAGGTCGTAGCGTCCCGGGGCGTCACCATTTTTATTAAACATAACTGACGTGCCTGCACTCCCTGCAGCGAGAGAGAAGGAAGGAATAACAGAAAGTGTTTATATTGAGTAGATATTTGTGTGAAGAATTGAATTACGCACATTTTCAGTTAAGACTAATAAAGCCCTGGGGTTAGTCTTCAGCCCACTGGGCCAACAGTACATAAATCCCAGTGAGAGAAACATTGACATTTAACCTAGCGTCCCTTGTTCCATGGGCAACGAGGACCACAGGGTGTGTTCATGTGCTGATGGCCTATTCATAATGACCATGGCCGATATCCTGTCCCCTCATTATAACGCTAGCAAGGTCAGCTAGCTCCCTACGGACTGATGATGGCTCTGCTGTGCTGTAGACCTCACCTGTGTTCCCTGTGAAAGAGCATGTGCTGAGGCTAGCCAACACCACACCACAGCCCTACATTTCAAATCTGAGCACTTCAGCATCAGATCTGTGTGATACACCATTAGATGTGCAGCATCATTGGAGCGGTGTGCAGCTGTAGGTTATCACAGCTGTGCATTAGGAATATCGTATGGTGGCCGTTCTACAAGACGGATGCACATTTCCTCAGGACAAAAGCAAACCTTCTCAATCACACATGGTGTACAGGAAATGAAGGGATAAATAGGTCAGTCAAAGAATCATTGGGTCCCCATCTGGTCCCAATTTGTAGCAGCCTGTCTCAAGCACAGGATCGCAGATTTGGCTAATTAGCTTACTGAAGGTTCTGGACACCTGAAACACGCTTTTGGAGAAATGACATCCATGGTCTGATTTGGATGAAGTGTGCGTGCGCATGTGTGCGTGCTCGTGTGTGTTTGTGTACGTGTGTGCGTGCATGTGTGTGTTTGTGTACGTGTGTGCATGCGTGTATACATCTGTATGTTTCTGTGTGTTAAGACCTCGCCATAATAAAGAGCTCCCTGAGAATTAAGTGTCTCTTTTGATGTGACACACAACACACAGTAAGGTCGATGGCCCTCATCCAGCCATTGTGAGAGAGACTGTATTACTCCTGCAGTTTAACAGTGAGTTAACCTTGGCAGTGAATACAATAATTCAAAGGCATAGGAGATACCATTTTTTAAATAGGACAGGGGGACTCAGATCAGATGTGGCATGGGAATTGACTGCAGCAATAGCTCTATAAAATGTGTTTAAGGAAAAGGACGAATAACACCTGTCTAAAATGTTTTTGGGGGACATGTTGCCTTTGTGTTTTGTGTAGGACATTGTCTTTGTGAGATACAGGCTGTACCCCAATGCTGCACACCTTTCCTTTTAATTTCTGTCAGTAGGGGACTGTCAGCTGGCTAGACGTCAGTTTTTTTTCCCAAGGACATTTGTCATTGAACATTCTACTAAAGATCAATACAAAAATCTCCCCTCATACAGCAAGCAGAGAGATGACAGGAAGTAAAACAAGCTCATTTAGATGCACCATACATACAGGAAGAGACCTAAAGGATGCAGAACTCTCATGGGAGGACCCAATCCAACACTCAAAGTTTGTATGACCATCAAAGTCAATAAGTTGCTTAAGTTATTTCCATAAGTTTCCAGTGTATTAGTCATACACTATTCACTTCCTTCAACAGCTTTTGAAATGGTGGTGTTAATGGTCTGCAAGGTGTATTAGAAGAGCTCAATTGGGTTCAGAAGAGGGGAGTTAATACCCTGAATAACGCAGGTGAAGTCACTGAAACAACTTTCACTCTGTGTGTGCAGAATATGAATAGGCTGACTAGGTACACATTCTGCCCTATCTGAACTGTGTGTAATAAACAAGAGACTAGCAGGACCACTAACGTCGATGCATTGAACATAACAATACCTGACTTGAACACTTTACATCCTTTCCACCCTCACATACAGTATATTGGGGAAGCCAGTTGACCAGCTTTATTACTGGACATTTTGCAGATAAACAATGGTTTGTGTCAAGACAATTTGTTGTCAGTTGTCGTAAGATAACATCAGCTGTCATGAATGTTAAGGACATCAGTTGTGTCAGTATTATGATATGACTATGTAGCCCTTAAGACAACAGGCTCATGTAAAGTGTTACACTTCCAATACTTGTACTAAACATATGGCTGCAGAACGGCAGAATCCTCTTTACTATGAAACTGAAACGAAAACACACACAAACACAGCGGTGGTAGTCAACAATCTGTCACTTCTTCTTCCAACAGACAGAGAATAGAGTTGTTGACATACTGTATCTAGTTGTTGACAAGGTGTTGACATAGTACACTGTAAGCAGTAGAATGACAGGACTACAAGACTGTCTTGTTCTACGCCCATGGAAATACAAAGAATCACACACACACACACACACACACAAACACACAGTCTGTCAGTAAGCAAACAATTAAGCAGCGTGGCTCTCCTTGCAGATTGAAAGCCATTACAACTTCCATTCTATTTTACATTTCCCGTTATTTGCAAGGGAACAAAATGATCTGTGTAGACAGCTTTGTGAGAGCGCTGTATGAGATGAAAGGTTCATCCATTCGCATGGGGCTCTGAACTAAGACATGACAAAAGTGCACTGCTGCTGTGCTGTGCTGTGCCGAGCAGAGTGGGTGGACTGGGGGCTCCACTGCTGCGCTTCTCTTTTTAATTATTCTCCTTCTTTCACTATCTTCAGCTCTGTGTCTCCAGCAAAGTGGGGAGAGCAACAAAGACGACACACATGGACACATACAAATGCATATGCACATGCACAAGCACACATGCGAACATGCACACAACACACACACCCACGCACGCAAACATGCACACACACGCACACTCGCACGTGCACATGCACACACAAACACAGTCCAGACAGGATGCAGTAAAGAACAAAGAGATATGGCTGTCAAAGCTATGGGAGTACTTATGTTGGCTTACAAGTACAAGGGTTAGTGAATCTGAATACTGCATCAGCCGGGGTAGACCGGGCAATGGCTAATTTAGTGAGCCGAGCATTCCTCTGTCACAGTGTTATTGCAAGTGCATAGCAGGTACTGTATAGGTTCAGAAAGAGTGCAACAAAATACAACAACAGCTTGTTCGCCTTTTCTGAATGCTGAGAGAAACACTTTAGGCTAATTATTGTACATTTGCATGAATTGTGCCCCCGCATGAATTGCGATAAATACCAACTGGAGAGAAGTTGGCAGCTACAAAGGCTTTCCTAACTTCTTTCTGAGACCAAAATAAAATATTAGCCTTCAGACCTTGCGTAAGTCTCTTCTAGAAATGGTTATGCCATGTAGAAACAACACATACAGTGGGGCAAAAAAGTATTTAGTCAGCCATCAATTGTGCAAGTTCTCCCACTTAAAAAGATGAGAGAGGCCTGTAATTTTCATCATAGGTACACGTCAACTATGACAGACAAAATGAGGAAAAAAAAATCCAGAAAATCACATTGTAGGATTTTTTATGAATTTATTTGCAAATTATGGTGGAAAATAAGTATTTGGTCAATAACAAAAGTTTCTCAATACTTTGTTATATACCCTTTGTTGGCATGACACAGGTCAAACGTTTTCTGTAAGTCTTCACAAGGTTTTCACACACTGTTGCTGGTATTTTGGCCCATTCCTCCATGCAGATCTCCTCTAGAGCAGTGATGTTTTGGGGCTGTCGCTGGGCAACACAGACTTTCAACTCCCTCCAAAGATTTTCTATGGGGTTGAGATCTGGAGACTGGCTAGGCCACTCCAGGACCTTGAAATGCTTCTTACGAAGCCACTCCTTCGTTGCCCGGGCGGTGTGTTTGGGATCATTGTCATGCTGAAAGACCCAGCCACGTTTCATCTTCAATGCCCTTGCTGATGGAAGGAGGTTTTCACTCAAAATCTCACGATACATGGCCCCATTCATTCTTTCCTTTACACGGATCAGTCGTCCTGGTCCCTTTGCAGAAAACAGCCCCAAAGCATGATGTTTCCACCCCCATGCTTCACAGTAGGTATGGTGTTCTTTGGATGCAACTCAGCATTCTTTGTCCTCCAAACACGACGAGTTGAGTTTTTACCAAAAAGTTATATTTTGGTTTCATCTGACCATATGACATTCTCCCAATCCTCTTCTGGATCATCCAAATGCACTCTAGCAAACTTCAGACGGGCCTGGACATGTATTGGCTTAAGCAGGGGGACACGTCTGGCACTGCAGGATTTAAGTCCCTGGCGGCGTAGTGTGTTACTGATGGTAGGCTTTGTTACTTTGGTCCCAGCTCTCTGCAGGTCATTCACTAGGTCCCCCCGTGTGGTTCTGGGATTTTTGCTCACCGTTCTTGTGATCATTTTGACCCCACGGGGTGAGATCTTGCGTGGAGCCCCAGATCGAGGGAGATTATCAGTGGTCTTGTATGTCTTCCATTTCCTAATAATTGCTCCCACAGTTGATTTCTTCAAACCAAGCTGCTTACCTATTGCAGATTCAGTCTTCCCAGCCTGGTGCAGGTCTACAATTTTGTTTCTGGTGTCCTTTGACAGCTCTTTGGTCTTGGCCATAGTGGAGTTTGGAGTGTGACTGTTTGAGGTTGTGGACGGTGTCTTTTATACTGATAACAAGTTCAAACAGGTGCCATTAATACAGGTAACGAGTGGAGGACAGAGGAGCCTCTTAAAGAAGAAGTTACAGGTCTGTGAGAGCCAGAAATCTTGCTTGTTTGTAGGTGACCAAATACTTATTTTCCACCATAATTTGCTAATAAATTCATAAAAAATCCTACAATGTGATTTTCTGGATTTCTTTTCTCAATTTGTCTGTCATAGTTGACGTGTACCTATGATGAAAATTACAGGCCTCTCTCATCTTTTTAAGTGGGAGAACTTGCACAATTGGTGGCTGACTAAATACTTTTTTTCCCCACTGTACTTGAGAAATACCAATGTACCCTCTGCCAGGCAAGGTTGCTCATACTTACAGTGCCTTGCAAAAGTATTCATCCCCCTTTGCGTTTTTACTATTTTGTTCCATTATAACCTGTAATTTAAATGGATTTTTATTTGGATTTCATGTAATGGACATACACAAAATAGTCCAAATTGGTGAAGTGAAATGAAAAAAATAACTTCTTTCAAAAAATTCTAAAAAATAAATAACGGAAAAGTGGTGCGTGCATATGTTTTCACCCCCTTTGCTATGAAGCCGCTAAATAAGTTCTGGTGCAACCAATTACCTTCAGAAGTCACATAATTAGTTAAATAAAGTCCACCTGTGTGCAATCTAAATGTCACATGATCTGCCACATGATCTCAGTATATATACACCTGTTCTGAAAGGCCCCAGAGTCTGCAACACCACTAAGCAAGGGGCACCACCAAGCAAGCGGCACCATGAAGACCAAGGAGCTCTCCAAACAGGTCAGGGACAAAGTTGTGGAGAAGTACAGATCAGGGTTGGGTTATAAAAAAATATCAGAAACTTTGAACATCCCACGGAGCATCATTAAATCCATTATTAAAAAATGGAAAGAATATGGCACCACAACAAACCTGCCAAGAGAGGGCCACCCACCAAAACTCACGGACCAGGCAAGGAGGGCATTAATCAGAGAGGCAACAAAGAGACCAAATATAACCCTGAAGGAGCTGTAAAGCTCCAGAGCGGAGGTTGGAGAATCTGTCCATAGGACCACTTTAAGCCGTACACTCCACAGAGCTGGGCTTTACGGAAGAGTGGCCAGAAAAAAGCCATTGCTTAAAGAACAAAATAAACAAACACGTTTGGTGTTCACCAAAAGGCATGTGGGAGACTCCCCAAACATATGGAAGAAGGTACTCTGGTCAGATGAGACTAAAATTGAGCTTTTTGGTCATCAAGGAAAATGCTATGTCTGGCGCAAACCCAACACCTCTCATCACCCTGAGGATGCCATCCCCACAGTGAAGCATGGTGGTGGCAGCATCATGCTGTGGGGATGTTTTTCATCGGCAGGGACTGAGAAACTGGTCAGAATTGAAGGAATGATGGCGCTAAATACAGGGAAATTCTTGAAGGAAGCCTGTTTCAGTCTTCCAGAGATTTGAGACTGGGACGGAGGTTCACCTTCCAGCAGGACAATGACCCTAAGCATAATGCTAAAGCAACACTTGAGTGGTTTAAGGGTAAACATTTAAATGTCTTGGAATGGCCACCAGCGGAACCCATTCAACTTAAAGGAGCTGGAGCAGTTTTGCCTTGAAGAATGGGCAGAAATCCCAGTGGGTAGATGTGCCAAGCTTATAGAGACATACCCCAAGAGACTTGCAGCTGTATTTGCTGCAAAAGGTGGTTCTACAAAGTATTGACTTTGGGGGTTGAATAGTTATGCACGCTCAAGTTTTCAGTTTTTTCGTCTTATTTCTTGTTTGTTTCACAATAAAAAATATTTTGCATCTTCAAAGTGGTAGGCATGTTGTGTACATCAAATGATACAACCCCCCCAAAAATCAATTTTAATTCCAGGTTGTAAGGCAACAAAATAGGAAAAATGCCAAACATTCCTCCATTCAATTCAACTAAATTCAATCAACTTTATTTATTCCTATGGAGAAATTATTGTTCCATAGAATTTGATTTAGTAGAACGGACATGAAGAGAATTGGACAATTGGAGAATTTACAGTATGTGGTCCGCTGGCAGTTTAATTTATAAGGTTTAATTAATTGTTGCTCAACACATCACACATGGGAGAATCCAGTGCCTCTAGTCATTCTGCATGTTCAGAAATGACATGTTCTATTATGCAGCCATATTTGGTGGACTGAGAAAAATCGTGGATTTAGAGCAATATCCACTCTACCCTTTCGCTTTTGATGCTTCTATCTTACCTCCCACCTGTCCTTATTGTATTTTATTTGCACATAACAAATTACAATGGAACAGAAGTTTTTTTCTTCAAATAAAAATACCCTTGCAAAATGTCACTTTGCATATATTTTTATGAGGTCCAGGGATAACCAATGTACTGACCGTTGAAGCTGGCATTGCGTATGTACTTGAGCAGAGTCTTCCCATCGGCTGCCTCCATCACAGGGCAGATGCCAGAGTACTCAGGACACAGGTCTCTCTGCATGTTGTGGAGGGCGTGAGCCATAGCGTACACCGCGTCTATCACAAACTGCACCTTCCCCTCCTGCTCGTACTTGGAGTCTATTCCGATCCGCTCCTGGCCTGAGGGACGAGACAGTGGAGAGAGGAGAGGATATATGTAATACATGCCATTTAGCAGACGCTTTTATCCAAAGCGACTTACAGTCATGCGTGCAGACATTTTACGTACGGGTGGTCCCGGGAATCGAACCCACTATCCTGGCGTTGCAAGTGCCATGCTCTACCAACTGAGCTACAGAGGACCAAAGAAAAAGGACAAGAAAAGGACAGAGTCACACACTGTGAATTAGAGTCACCCTGTTCATATAGCACGGCATGGGTCATAGTCCTGCAGAGTCCTGTTGTAGAAGTGTAAACCAAGAAGTGCTAGCCAAGGAGGAGCCAACCAGGTATAAATGAATACCATATGTACACATGCATATATTTCATAGTGAAGTCAGGCTGCTATAGGCCCTACATATGTGTATTGCATTTGTCCCATTTCAAGAGTGTTCAAGGCCTTGACAAGCTTCTAGAGCAGGGTTCTTCAATTCCGGTCCTGGAGGGCCGAAACACCTCTGTTTTTCATCCTCTCCTTCTAATCAGGGGCTAATTCAGACCTGGGACACCAGGTGAGTGCAATTAACTACCAGGTAGAAATAAAAAACAGAAGTGTTTCGGCCCTCCAGGACCGGAATTGAAGAACCCTGTTCTAGAGCATGTGTCAAACTCATTCCACGGAGGGCTGAGTGTCTGCGGGTCTTCTCTCCTCCCTTGTACTTGATTGATGAATTAAGGTTACTAATTAGTAACGAACTCCCCTCACCTAGTTGTCTAGGTCTTAATTGAAAGGAAAAACCAAAAACCAGCAGACACTAGGCCCTCCATGGAATGAGTTTGACACCCCTGGTCTAGAGGCATCTCCTAGCACTGCTGGCAGCACCATGTTCTATTACGGTCTCTGCCCTTTCACTATGGATTATTTTGAAGGCGTTTTAATTGAACTGGTGATACCCTGACTGAATGTCTAATGAATGGCTTCAGGTTAGTGGGGGATCTCTTCTCTCTCTCGCACACACTTTCTTTAGGTGGGGATCCTTTGACTGAGGTATTTTGCACATTTTCAACGTGCTAATGTGAACAGGTTCTATCATTAAGCATGGCATATGGATGCTGAATATATTCATTTGAAAGACACAGGCAGTAATGAACAAGGATGCATTAACAGGAAACCAGCTCATCAATACACAGTACAAAATAACAGATGAATGGGGCGCTATACAGCACCGTGGGGAAAAGCTTCTAGAGTGCAAGGAGATTACTGTGTGATTTTGACATGTAAGTACCAAATAAAGGCTCCCAGTTCAAATTGCAAACTTGATAAGAAGGGAAAATGCAGGCTGTGTCACCATGACGAATATGACTACAACGTGGGAGACTGGCACAAGCTGAAGGAGGTCAAAAGTAATAAATGTTGACATTTTCTCCACTTTCTCTCCTTTCAACATACATCTCAGCCCACACATAACCTTTCTTGTTTTCCAGAGCAGCGAGTAGAGCATTGAATGCAAAAGCTTTGAATGCAAAAAAAGAACCTTCCCCTTAGTTCCTGACATTCATAAATATGGATCGGCTTGGTTAGATGTGGAAAAAGGAGAAATGGAAGCAGCTCTACACCAACCTTTTTGTGTCTTTGTACAATGCTTAAACGCTTTGTTGATATTCTACATCCATTTTTTATGTGCTTTCTTAAGTGCAAGGATCTGCAGCATGTGGCACATAAAGAAATTATGAAATACGGCATTTATAAGATATTATACCAACAACTCCCTGTCACTCTAACTGCTACAGTATGGTCAGCGAGAGTGCAAGGACCTTCAGTCCATCACAGGCATAAGCCATAGAAAATATATAAATCCCTGTCACTAGCATTGACTCAGTGACATTGTATATCTTCTCCCTTTGCTGGCATACCTATAGGATAGATAGTAAACACCACAGTAAGTAACACTTCCACACTATCAATGCTCCCAAGTCCCAACACACCTCATTGCAAATAATGTTTGCAGCGAGATCAAAACATTGTCAGTAATAAAGCTCTTGGGAGCATCAATAGTGAGTTACTGTACTTGCAGAGCTTTACTTACTTTCATCATTTTCATCAGTTCCTCTGCTCAGCACCTCTCTAAATGGCATGCATGTTTGCTCTACTACCTACTTAGCATACATATCACAGCTTAGCACTGCTGGCATGATGCCATTACCCAGCTGGGCACAACTTTACTATCCCAGTAGGACCAGCTATTTACATGATCCAGTGGCCTACACCTCAGTGTCCTCATTTGTAAAGATGTGTACTACCATCATCTTAAGATACCTATAACAAATAATCATGCAGCAACAGGAAGTGTGAATTATTACGTGGATTATAATTCATGGACATTTCTGTAGGGGTTGATACATTTTTCGTAAGAGAAAATTAAGTCTGACATTTCTAAGTGGAAATTACAAACTTCAGAAGCCTTTTTAAACTTAAAAAATACTACAAGTTTGAAATGTCCTGCATTGCAGGAAGGTTCACCTGCAACAGGGTGATCAAATTAAGATCCTACATCTGTATTATTTTCATATCGCACCACTGCCAATAGTAGTGACCCCTCCCACAAACAAACAGATGAAAAAACAAAACCACATAAGCAAACAAATCTCTGTTGGCTACCTACCTGTGCATTTCCTGCTGGTGTCTTCTCTTTTGGAGGAACTAAGGAGCCTGCAGTCAAAGTTTTCCTCCCAGAACTCGGCGAACCACACGTTCCGGCGATTATTCTCCAGGGTGAGCGAGGTGAAGTATTCATCAAACCCTGGAGAATCAAAAAAGAAAAGAGAATTCTTCAGATCCGCACCAATTACCAACAGAACCCTACCTAGGGGAAATGACTTGGGCAGTGTTGCTGCAGCGCTGTGCTGTACTGGCTGTTGTATTAGTCTCATAGCTAAAGTACAAATAAACTGCTCTTCATCAAGTTTTGACCACTGCAGTTCCTGTGTACCATATGGATCTTTAATCAGGGCTTTCATCTTGGAAATTAAAAAGCAGGACGCATAATAAACAAGGCAATAGTAAACATGTCATCCTCCACGAATGATGCAGCACCCTCCCCTTGGGCCAATTGATATATCGCGTGTGACTAACACATTTCAGTTATCGTGTGTTACCACAGATGATCCATTATATTGACCATATACTCAAGTGGCCGCTCTAACAATGAAAATAAATGTCTTAAATATGGAAGGCAGTTAGCCTGGGTACCAGTCTCTTTAGCTAATCCCCTCCCTGTACTCCATGTCACGTGCCAAAGACTCTTTGGCAATGACAAGGAGTGGCAAGGAGTGGAACGTTAGCTAAAGAGACTGGTACCCAGACCAGAAGGCAGTCGGGAGGAGGCAAGATCAGGTGGGACCATTCTAGCCAATGAGAGGGCAGGTACGTGTGTGAAAAATAGGCACAACTCCGATTTTTCTCAAAGTTGCCAGGATGTCACGTGTCCTACTTATCAGTACACTCGTAACAACCTAAGCGCTACGAAAAATATATTCAATCAAATAAGCGACACATAGCAAATAAGCCATAAAAAAATTTATTGACCAAATTTGACACTCTCTCATTGACCTCCATACAAAAACTTTGTGAGCGAAATAAATGAAAAAACGCCACTTGCTGGAGAAGACAGATTTTGGGCCCAGTTATCCTTATCGCTTCGCCTCTTCCTCTCTGGTGAGACTCACAAATTTCAGTTAATGACTATTCCTTTCTTTGGCCAATCAGTGTAATTTTGTAAATGCCCGATATCTATGGCAAGACTCATCATTCACCCAAGTTTCATCAAAATTGGGCAAGTGCTGTCTGAGATATCGCATGTGACTAATTTAACATGCTGACCACACCGCCCGTGTCGCGTGCGCAAACGTTGCAAAATAAATGTACACATACATGTTATTCAATCATTGCATCAAAACTGCTCGCGCAAATAAATGAGCGTCTGCGTAGCCAGGCGCTAAAATAGAACTTGATTCTATTTGTGACGTGTGACGCGCTGCAAGTCCCGCCTCTCCCATCTCCTCATTGGTTTTTAGGAGCATATACCCACGTGGGTGATTGAAAGATGAACTGAGGTCCACACTCCAGTCCAGTTGGTGGTGGTAATGCACCTTAAAGTTGATTGCCAACCGCCATATAAAGTCCAAAGAAGAAGAAGAAGCCTGAAGGAGGAGAGATTACTAGAAACAAACTTGGTTTGCCCTTTTATCTGTGGATGAATTGTACGAGTAGAGGACCTTGTGCATTTCAGGTAAAATAACAACCCAATGTTTATATCCCAGGACAAATTAGCTAGCAACAGCAAGCTATCTAGCTAAATTGCCATAAATGTTTAATACTTTTCGACCTGTCCTGAAATTAATATAATTTAGTTGTTTCAGAGTTTGTTTTTGATATTTCAACCTGCGTGTCCTGATCGCGTCTGGTGTGGGTGGACAAAATCAACATGCGCGTGATGGTGCATGCGTGCGAGCGGTGTGGTCAACATGTAAGAATGGACGAACGGACGGATGGAGACGATCCACTGTCCCCTCCCCGATTTTATTGTGTGGGACTATAATAATGGGGTTTGTATGTGAAGTCTATACGCTACAGTATTTCCTGGAAGGACAGTACCCTGTAATACGTTTTATTCTTTGGCCATTTATTTGTAATTTATGAGAAAGCCTACTGTGAAGTTTCTATATAAGTCCAATCAGTTTTCTCACCTCACCTGTGGCCTATGTACTGTATATTTTGATGAATTTTTATTGAACTCTTTAGATAAGCAGTATTAATAAGAATGGATAACAAGCACAAAGACAGGGTTTGGGTTGATGTATCATTTCCAGCTGTGACGTACTCACGGTCCAAATCTCTACACAGGTTTCCGCTCTCTCACACAGTCAGTTTTATCATCAGAAGCACTGTGACAAGAGATGATGACTAATCATGACTGAATGACTCAGCTGATTTTCTTCTGAAAGGGGCGTCAATGATGCATGCTGGTTTAATTTACTCATCTTGCCTGCTGGCTCTTAACAGACCATGTGTTGTCCTGTCTAGTCCACTCTAATTTAAAAAAGCTTTACAAAAACCCACACTTCACTTTCCACCTAGGCCCCAGATTGTAATGATGAGTGGCTATTATCACAGTGATACTGAGTGGAACTGCTAAATAAGTCACTGCTGACTGGTAAAACAGTGTGTGCGTGTGTGTGTGTGTGTGTGTGTGTGTGTGTGTGTGTGTGTATATACCACTACCTTTAATAGATGAGCGTTTGGGCAGTATAGTGACTGCTCCCACCGCCACGTCCTCTAACTGGTGTATTGGGCTGCTCTTCGCCCCCCAACTGTCTGACCCGATCCACAGAAAATGGCCCACCTGATTGGCTCTCTTGGTGGCATTGAGAACTCCCCTGCAAGGGCAACCATGTGTGAATTAGGAGAAAGCAGAAGGGACGCATGCAATCCAATATCATGGGGGGGTAAACAGCAACCTATGAATATGCATATCAGTATATGGCAGAAGTTATGTACTATTTACACTACCGTTCAAAAGTTTGGGGTCACTTAGAAATGTCCTTGTTTTCGAAAGAAAAGCAATTCTTTAGTCCATTCAAATAACATCAAATTGATCAGAAATACAGTGTAGACATTGTTAATGTTGTAAATGGCTATTGTAGCTGGAAACGGCTGATTTTTTATGGAATATCTACATAGGCGTACAGAGGCCCATTATCAGCAACCACGTTGTGTTTGCTATTCCAAGTTTATCATTTTAAAAGGCTAATTGATCATTAGAAAACCCTTTTGCAATTATGTTAGCAAAGCTGAAAACTGTTGTGCTGATTAAAGAAGCAATAAAACTGGCCTTCTTGAGACTAGTTGAGTATCTGGAGCATCAGCAATTGTGGGTTCGATTACAGGCTCAAAATGGCCAGAAACAAATAACTTTCTTCTGAAACTCGTCAGTCTATTCTTCTTCTGAGAGATGAAGGCTATTCCATGCGAGAAATTGCCAAGAAACTGAAGATCTCGTACAACGCTGTGTACTACTCCCTTCACAGAACAGCACAAACTGGCTCTAACCAGAATAGAAAGAGGAGTGGGAGGCCCCGGTGCACAACTGAGCAAGAGGACAAATACATTAGGGTGTCTAGTTTGAGAAACAGCCTCAACTGGCAGCTTCATTAAATAGTACCCGCAAAACACCAGTCTCAACGTCAACAGTGAAGAGGCGACTCCGGGATGCTGACCTTCTAGGCAGAGTTGCAAAGAGAAAGCCATATCTCAGACTGCCCATCTTAGTCTTTTCTTTTTATTGGCCAGTCTGAGATATGGCTTTTTCTTTGCAATTCTGCCTAGAAGGTCAGCATCCCGGAGTCGTCTCTTCACTGTTGATGTTGAGACTGGTGTTTCTTTCGAAAACAAGGACATTTCTAAGTGACCCCAATGTTTTGAATGGTAGTGTATATTGATATAAATGTATATTTAGGCTACATTGTGTTTTAAATCCATTGAGGTCAGTGGAGGCTGCTGAAGGGAGGATGGCTCATAATAATGTCTGGAATGGAGTCAATGGAATGGTATCAAACATTTGGTTCTCATGTGGTTGATACCATTCCATTGACTCCATTCTGGACATTACTATAATTCGTCCTCCCCTCAGCAGCCTCCATTGATTGATGTATAGAAGATGTGAAATGATTTCAAGAGCTCTATGTCTCTCTCCCTTTTTCTCTCCCTCATATACTCTCCATCTCTCCCTCTTTCTTTTTCTCTTACTATGGTCTGTCTATCCATCCATCCGTCTATTTCTTTCCTCTCAGAGACATATCCCTTGAGGCATTGTAAACGAAACAATATCTCTGCTGCTTTGTTGTGATATTCCATATTCTCAGTTCCCCTCCCAGGCACCTTTCTGTTTGTGTTATTGGAGGCATGTTTGTGTTTCAGACACCCAGTGCGTTCACAAATGCATTTAGATGCTGTGTACTGCTCTACGCACCGTATGTCTTCTTCACTGGCAAAGATGATGACTCCCCGGGAGTGGGGCGTTTCCAGCAGTTGTTGGATGGCTTTGTCATAATCCTCCAGCTTGGGGTTGTGGGGAATTTTCAATGACTGAGCGATGCAGATCCCACCTTAAATTCAGAGAGAGAGAGAGAGAGAGAGAGAGAGAGAGGAGAGAGAGAGAGAGAGAGAGAGAGAGAGAGAGAGAGAGAGAGAGAGAGAGAGAGAGAGAGAGAGGAGAGAGAGAGAGAGAGAGAGAGAGAGAGAGAGAGAGAGAGAGAGAGAGAGAGAGAGAGAGACACACATAAAGAAAGAGAGAGAGAGAGAGATACACATAAAGAAAGAGAGAGAGAGATACACATAAAGAAAGAGAGAGAGAGATACACAGAAAGAAAGAGAGATACACAGAAAGAAAAAAGAAAGAAAGAAAGAGAGAATGAGAGAAAGAGATGATGAGCCCTCTCGAACACATACACACACATACACATATACACACACACACACACACTAACACATACAAACTAGAGCTGGGACGATAAGCAGAACATTATAATGGGACAATTGATGGCTACAACCATTAAACTAGTAGCAGTAGTTTAAAGGATCATTTTTAAAAAATGGTGGTGCACATTGTTATAAACTTATCGTTCTATTTATCATTATCACATCAATTCAAGCAATTGATCGCGATATGGTTCTGTCCATATCCCCCAGCTCTAAGACCAACTACATCACTGATGACATGAGCTCTAGAATGTTGACATATAACACTTCATTTTGAACATGCATTAATGCCTGGATTCTCAATTGCACAATGCAGATATTGTAACCATATCCCCCAGCTCTAATACAAACACACACTTGACACCCTCAAGTCAAGGTTGTGTTAACCTTTTCTCATGGAAATCAGATCCATATGGATATAGAAAGTTTTCAAACAAAGTGGTGCTGAAAGGAAGACCCATATTTTTGTTGTGTTTTCATCTTCGCTATAGGTCTGTGCCTTTGTGAGATAGATACAGTTGAAGTCAGAAGTTTACATACACCTTAGCCAAATACATTTAAACTCAGTTTTTCACAATTCTTGACATTTAATCCTAGTAAAAATGCCCTGTCTTAGGTCAATTAGGATCACCACTTTATTTTAAGAATGTGAAATGTCAGAATAATAGTAGAGAGAATGATTTATTTTAGCTTTTATTTCTTTCATCACATTCCCAGTGGGTCAGAAGTTTACATACACTCAATTAGTATTTGGTAGCTTTAAATTGTTTAACTTGGGTCAAACGTTTCGGGTAGCCTTCCACAAGCTTCCCACAATAAGTTGGGTGAATTTCAGCCTATTCCGCCTGACAGAGCTGGTGTAACTGAGTCATGTTTGTAGGCCTCCTTGCTCGCACATGCTTTTTCAGTTCTGCCCACAAATGTTCTATAGGATTGAGGTCAGGGCTTTGTGATGGCCACTCCAATACCCTGACTTTGTTGTCCTTAAGCCATTTTGCCACAACTTTGGAAGTATGCTTGGGGTCATTGTCCATTTGGAAGACCATTTGTGACCAAGCTTTAACTTCCTGACTGATGTCTTGAGATGTTGCTTCAATAGCTCAGTTGGTAGAGCATGGCGCTTGCAACGCCAGGGTTGTGGGTTCATTTCCCACGGGGGGCCAGTATGAAAAATGTATGCACTCACTAACTGTAAGTCGCTCTGGATAACAGCGTCTGCTAAATGACTAAAATGTAATAAAAATGTAAATGTAATATATCCACATAATTGTCCTTCCTCATGATGCCATCTATTTTGTGAAGTGCACCAGTCCCTCCTGCAGCAAAGCACCCCCACAGCATGATGCTGCCACCTCCGTGCTTCACGGTTGGGATGGTGTTCTTCGGCTTGCAAGGCACCCCCTTTTTCCTCCAAACATAACGATGGTCATTATGGCCAAATAGTTCTATTTTTGTTTCATCAGACCAGAGGACATTTCTCCAAAAAGTACGATCTTTGTCCCCATGTGCAGTTGCAAACCGTAGTCTGGCTTTTTTATGGTGGTTTTGGAGCAGTGGCTTCTTCCTTGCTTCTAAAGCCATGACATCATTTTCTGTCCCCCATCAGTCCTTTGCTGTTGTTCTGGGATAGATTTGCACTTTTCGCACCAAAGTACGTTCATCTCTTGGAGACAGAACGCGTCTCCTTCCTGAGCGGTATGACGGCTGCGTGGTCCCATGGTGTTTATACTTGCGTACTATTGTTTGTACAGATGAATGTGGTACCTGTCTCAGGCGTTTGGAAATTGCTCCCAAGGATGAACCAGACTTGTTGAGGTCTACAAAACATTTTCTGAGGTCTTGGCTGATTTCTTTTGATTTTCCCATGATGTCAAGCAAAGAGGCACTGAGTTTGAAGGTAGGCCTTGAAATACATCCACAGGTACACCTCCAATTGATTCAAATGATGATCAGAAGCTTCTAAAGCCATGACATCATTTTCTGGAATTTTCCAAGCTGTTTAAAGGCACCATCAACTTATTGTACGTAAACTTCTGACCCACTGGAATTGTAATACAGTGAATTATAAGTGAAATAATCTGTCTGTAAACAATTGTTGGAAAAATTACTTGTGTCATGCACAAAGTAGATGTCCTAACCGACTTGCCAAAACTATAGTTTGTTAACAAGAAATTTGTTGAGTGGTTGAAAAACAAGTTTTAATGACTCCAACCTAAGTGTATGTAAACTTCCGACTTCAACTGTAGATAGATGACTAAAAAAGACAATCACTGTAGACATACTAGACATCCGATGTACATTTGAGTCACACGCTGTGAGCTGAGTGGTTTTCGGTAAGCGGTACATCTCAGCATAACAATTAGCATTTGAAAGGAAAACCCTCACAAATGAATAGTGGGATACATTTCTTATTCGAGGGCTGTGGGTGAATACTTAAGTACAACAGAAGACCAATGGGAAACCGCATCAACCGTGTAGAAGGAAGACGTGAAAATACTCTTCACACTTTGTAACCACAGATGTTTAGAAGTCGTCCCCTCCCCATTGACTTTTCATTTAACGTCATCATTAGACACAACACAATGGACAGTCAACCAATCAGATGTGGAGACAGGCCACACAAACAAGGAGGATATTAATATTGACAATGAATCATGTTCAGACAGGTCAGTGCTAATGAGTTTGTGCAGGATGAAAGGTACTGACTGATTGCTTCCCTGCGTCGCTAAATAGTTATTAGATATTTGGCGGGCCTCCTGTGACAGTCACATCAGAGACATGGCCAAAACTTAGTTGGCAATTGTCCTTGAGGGAATATTGATTAAGGCAATCATTTAGCTTCATCCATGGTTGTCTGAATCTAAAATGAAGGGCCTGTGATATGACCTAATTTGCTCCTGTCAAGCATTTAAGGTCATCTTTAAATATTGTCCCATAGCTCCATGTTGAGCTGATGAAAAAACTTGTGCTGGAGGAGAGACTGCAGCCACCATTTTGTGAAGAGAGAAAAACAAATATTAAGTTTGACAGATTTGTCATCCTCGGGTCACATTCAAGAGCTCATTATCAGAATATAAACATCAAATCGTATCTTTAACAAGTAACTTAATTTTATTCATTAGGCTGGAGCAGATGTGAGCGCACGGGCCGACCTAACCATCTAGAGTAAACAGACATTACACCTGAAGACACATGATAACTGGAGCTACATGACGAGCAGCAGGTAGGTTTGGTCCTGAGTCAACACTCAGGCTTCTCTATCAAAACCAATTAGACTATATCATACTCAAGCACTCCTAATACCAGATAACCTTTGCAACATTGGGTTGGTTTCCCTGAGTAGACTGAGAAATGGGAGGAATCGACTAATTAGCCGTCTGCTCAGGCTCATTATTTTAATACCGAGTAGAAACCACAACTCCAGCCCCTGTTTACCGGGCTACAGCTAAAGACAGCTCCATCTAAAGGACTCCTTCCTAGTTCTCCCTCTCTCCTCCATCCCACTTTCACCATCCCCAACAGCAGCAGCAGCAGCAGCTGCAGCCAGAATTAGACAATATTACTGATTGCCAGACAATATATCTCTACAAAGACAGTGAGGATGTCTCCTGTAATCCTCCTTAAGTGGACAGAACACAAAAGCTGAGCTCCTTTCTCTGGCGGCTGGTCTGTTAAATGCTTGAGGATTGGGCTCTCCTGTTAAAATGAAAAGTGTAGCCTGGTATTGTGGTGTATCTGTGGAGCTGTAGCAGTAGAGAGAGAGGCAGCAGCCGGAGGGTCTCACAGGGACACCACTAAAGCTCCATTTCAGCACAAAGATTCCACATGATTCTTCAGGGCTCTGGGAGGGCTTATGACACTGCTACGAACAAGGTTTCCTTTTTGGGAAACTCTAATAATGTACTAGGGCTCATTCTTAGAGAGGTATTAGCCCTACCTTTTAGCTCTGGGGGCTGTCTATGTGTCTGTCTGTCTGTCGGAGGGTATCATAGGTGATGAGGATTAATCCAACTAAAATGTATCTAGATTTTAGGGTCAAAGAGAAATCAAGGCCACACCTTGTAGCAGGAAGCTGACAGAGACATGGGACCATGGCAGCCAGTCACTGATGAAGATAAGCAGCCTTTTGAGTGGTTTTGCTTTCGGTTAGTACAATCTGGGATCCTTGGGACATCCCTACCCTAAACTCTATCCTTAACCCCTACCCATACCCTAAACTTAACCCTTACTTAAACCTAACCTTAACCCTCACCTTAACCATTTTTCATTTAAACTTCAATAGGGTAACGTCCCAAGGATTCCAGATAGCACTAACCTTTAAGGGTGACAGGTAGCTTAGCGGTTAGAGCGTTGGGCCAGTAACCAAAATGGTTGCTGGTTCAAATACCTGACAAGGTGAAAATCTGTTGATGTGCCCTTCAGCAAGGCACTTAACCATAACTTGCTCCAGGGGCGCTGTACTACTATGGCTGACCCTATAAAACAACACATTTTACTGCACCTTTCTGGTGTATGTGACAATAAAACCCTTTTATTTATTTTTCCAGGCTCAAATATGCTGTGAGGACTAGCCTGCCTGCAGGCTGCAGACTGGCTGTGTGCTGTGAAGCTGTGGCTAAATTATT